ATTGCGGTGGATAGAAGAAAAACTGAGCTGGGCTATAGGTGTACTGGGTTTTTATATTGGTAGGACAGAAAGACAGGAGTAGAGATAGATAATGATAGAGGTAGAGAAAGCGGTGGAAACGGAAAATTTGTAGAGAACAGGGCCGTTCGTCTTCGTGCAAACCTGGATGTCACATATGCGCTTCTTAGGTTACTCGAGGACGAAGGCAAGAATCTTAACCCGGGGAGAGACAAAAGAACGGAAACTAAAAGTCTGAAGGAGTTGGAAAAGAGAAAGTTCGCGTGGAAAAATAGAACGAGGTTTGGTAAGGGCTTGTTGCCAATGACATACCCGCCACAAATATAGTAAATACAAGCCACAAAGAACCACAAAGCGAAATAAATATTATTAAAGACAAATTGTTAGATAGACTTACAATTAGTCTCGTTACAATTTTTAATACAGTGGAACCTCGATAACTCGAAAACCTCTCCAAGACGAAAATTTTCTTCATTCCCTTCCGCTCCGCTGTAAAAACGTCTACAACTCGAAATAAAACTTCCGTTAACTCGAATTATTTGTCGCATGTTTAATACATATGTATTTTACTTCTACAATTCGAATTCAGAAGAACTCCGACCTCTACAAGTCGAAGTTAATTTCTACATATCAGTCAATCGATCCAATAGGACCAACGGTTCAAAAATCGTGAATTGCTTATTTCTTTATAGAGATAAACAGTGCATGCGTTTTGATTACAAAAGCAGTTTGCTGTGAAAGATTGAAGGAATAAGTTAAAGCACAGTTCTATCGTTTCTCATTCTTTTCTCCGGATTATATGTAATAAAATGAATTCTAAACGCAAGTGGAAAACATTAACATTGGCTTGAAACAGTAAAAATTGGATCAAGAAAGAAAAAGGATTGAAGGAATGTGGTTACGAATAAATAACAAGGCGTGACTAGGGTTACGCTATGTACCCACACGGTAGTAGTGAGATCTTTATTAATTGTTGACTTATGGCTTTGGAGGTCCGTGCAAGACTGCCCTCCTGTCGCCTCGCTATTTTCTTACTGCCTTTCGGCTATGTGTTAATCATCCCTGATTGGTTAACCCGTCGCATCGGTGTTAACCAATCAGGTAATTTCTTTCCGAGTCGCTGCGTGTCCCTTGCGCCCTTGGCGCGCTTTTTCGGGGACCGCAGTGCGACTTGGCGGGGGAGGTTTTTCCCGTGACGTCATTTGGCGACATAGCTGAGTTTCCTCCAGGTCAAGTACTCGTGCCCTGCCGGTCCGGGCCTCTGGGCCTCGTACGGCGGACCTTTCGGAAACCCTTGGTTTATGATGCGGCAATTTGCTATTGAGGCCGTCGGAGAAAGTTTCTACGCGGACATGCATTGTCGAATTTCTAGAAATTAAATAAGCTAAAAACGGTTTCCTCAAAAATAGCTTTTCAAGCGCGCACGTCATAAACCGTGCTGGTAGTCTACTCGCCAAATGTTCTTCGCTGTAGCTGGTCGCTACAGGATATTGCTAATGACCTCTCTTACTCCCTTTTCCCTTCCTTTGAGGTTCGAGTTAACGAGATTTCACTGTATTAGAAGAAACAAATGCCTCCCATGCACTTATAATTGCTATTTTTAATATTTGTATTAATGAATATTTTATATTATTCTTAAAAGTGCGAAAAAGTTGCGGTCCTGAAGCCATTTTTGTGTGCTTCCTCTACTATGAATCAGGGTATTATCTCATTAAAATTAAAATTTACTTGATCCATGCTCTTGTATATGAAAAAGCAAACGTGATTCTAGCACTTCTTGATACTGTTGGCTATTCATTTCTGTTGAAACGAAAGCAATCGAAACGAAGGAAGCTTTCCATAAGCACAGAAGACCTGCTCGTGCCATTAAACTAGCTCCACCAAAATTGTGCCTCGAGAAAATTTTTTTTCCTTCCTTACATCGTGCCAGTATGAATTGAAGCCATCTGAGTCATCTACATTAAACATTTTTTCAAGAATCAGTAGAGAGGTGATAAAAGCTTACCTCATTCCAATGTGTATTCACGTTTCCAGCAGCGAATTCCAAACGATGAATTTTATATCTTTTTAAACATGGTGTTTTTTTCATTTTCTATCACCTAATTATTGGACTCTTCGGTAGAACTCTTCTGACTGTCCGAGGGAAAACTTTTAAATTCAGTTGTTTATTTATTTGATTTCCAGATTTCATCAAATTGAATGCTGCATTGGCAATTTGGCGTACTGCACGCGGATTTAATTTTAAAGGATAACCGTTGCGTTTTCTGGTGTCTAATTTATGTGGATTGTTTACATAATTACTAATTACGTATATTGTTCATCCTAGATGTCTTGCTATTTATCGATTTCTACATTCAGTTTTAGTGATAGTTTATATTTGACCTTTCTCAAAGTTTGTCAACCTCTTTCCTTTAGGCATACTAGGTATAAATTATTATGATATCGATATAATGGTAATGGCACTCACAGCACAGACGAGGTGCAGGAGAGACCTAATGTATTTTTGTGTCCAACGTTCTGAAATACCGATCGTGTAAAAAATGAGAGTTTTTGTTATGCCCTCTACGATATAAAGTGGTGAATTTAGGAATTACATACAATCCAATCATCAAAGATGGTAAAGTCGACAGATGTAAAAAATTCTCTTTTACTAAATTTGTATATAAAGATACATACATATATTGGATTGCGTGGATAGAATTGTCTACGATTTTCTGACAGCAGTAAAACACGCGGATGTAATGAATCATCTATTAATAAACAATTACATTACTTTCTTATTTGTAATTTCATAGTTAGGTTTAATTCCAATTCCAACCACTACTAATGGTGTAATCTTATTCCATACTGAATCGGTAACGTTGGTAGCGATACGAAAATGGTAAGGGTCTTCTCGGCTCCAAAGCCCCTGACAAAAAGTCGCAAGGCTATCCTGTACGTCGTCTGTGATGTTAGGTCTATCATATGCGGCTGTGCATTTTGCACCTCGTCTGTGTTAATATGTTTTGAATTATAGGTCACTGCATAAATCAGTCGAACAGTTAACCGGTAGATGTCGACAACGGACCAATAGCGTATATATATATATAGAAATGTACGTATTAAAATGTCAAAATAATTAATTACAGAAAATAGTTAAGGAATATCGTATTGAGTAATGAATATTTTCTACTGCAGAATAATTTCTTATTTTACAAGGAATTATAATTCTATCATATTCCATTTAATAGAATTAGCATTTAAATTTCCAATACTAACTATTTGGAATTTTTAATTTTCAATTTATTCTTTAATCACAATACATTCAATGTTAAATGTTAAATATAGTAATTTCAATATTGTTACAAATTTTCTTCGCTTTTTACAAAATTATAATTAAGATTAAATCAAAAGCGTCTGCTAATTCTATTACGTAAAGGAGAAATGAAAATGAAGGCTCGAAATATGAATTTTGATTTAAAATGAAAAATGAAAGGAAGTGCATAGTACTGGCGCAACGGACGTACTTAGACACTGGTGTAGACAACAAAATTCGGTTATGATAAAATGTGATTTGTGTTCGAAACATTGGACAAAAGCAAATAATTGAAAATTATTCCTGCCTTAAGTTCTTAATTAAATGAATTCATTCTGACTAAAATATTTATATTATATATTAAATAAAAAAAAAAGGAAAATCACATATTTATTAGGAGTGTATAAATATGTAATGTTATATTAAATATTCTTTCAGTCATCCTATTTTTGAACGATTATTATTCGTATCATTGAGATTTATGTTAACATTTATATACAGGGGAACAGCTCGCAGAGTTGTAACGTTTACTTTCACAGTAGAGCTGACGCTACTGCAATGTCTCGTTCCGAGGGTTTCGATACGATGCATTAACATACAGTACGGGTAGTATTAACGTACTATGCAGTTGCATCAAATGAAATGCGTGTGTCTTTTCTGCTTTTTCTTTGTGATCATATACGACACTAAAACAAAATGTTGCCAGAGTAAAATATGTACTTACATATCAACTCTATGGAAGTGTTGACCAGAGTGCAGTGTGTGCGACAGCGATTTTGGGACATATTCGTGACGGTTGCATAATTGCTAGGTTGTACACAATGTAGTGCAAAGTGGAAATTTTCGGATTACAAAAATATAAATAACATGCGTACATTTACGTATGTACATATATATGTATATTTGCGGATCGCACTACATAGCCACGTAGATCAGCTTGTGCAGAAAGGATGTGTGAATTGATAATATCATTTCCTTTATTGCAATATTTAATATTTCATATTTGTGTCCAGAATCCAATTAGTGTGAGGCTTTTTGGATGATTTGTCCAATGTTAAAATACATCCTTGCTTAAGACAATGATTAACTTTGGTTTTTTCTCTTTTTAATCAATTCTTTACTGTATAAAATACACTCGATAATAATGACAAATTGCGATGAAAGTACTAGTGCGTGTAGTTCAAAAATAAAATTACAATATCAATTTCTAAGTATAGTGTAACAAAGCAGTGGTAAACATTCGGAGAGGCACAAAGCGTAAGAGAGCAAGAAAATATCGAAGTACGTCATGCGAGTTCCCGCGTTTCTACATATAGAAATAAATGTCAGCTGATTGCGAAGTCAATCAAAAGGGACAAAGCGTGCGGTGGTGTGTGCGAGCGTACGGACAAGCCGCGCGCGTATCGAGCATAGAAATGACGATGATCGACAGGCGGCGCCACACTCGGTATTGCAGACGGGACTGCAGTCGCGCACGTGTATCCGTTGAGTGAACGACGCCACGCGGCTAGAGCCGGTGTGGTCGCGTCGTTGCTGTGTGTGTGTGTTTCTTCCCTCTTCTTTGTCGTTTTCACACGTGCATTAGGCGTGTGCCGCTCTCGGTATGCTCGCACCGCTCAGTACTTTTTCGGCTGTTAACGAGAAGGTATCTTGTGAAAAGTAATTTCGATAGTGGGAACGAGACACAATGCCGGACAAAGTTGCACCAGCCGAAAGGCAGGTCCTAAGGAGTGTAAAAACCACCGACAATGACAAAGAAGCTGTGCAACTGAAAAAAGAACTGGGCCTGTTGGACGGTGTGGCGATTATCGTCGGTATTATCGTCGGCGCTGGAATCTTCGTTTCACCAAAGGGTGTACTGAGAAACAGCGGCAGTGTTGGCCAGGCTTTAATCGTCTGGATCTTCTCTGGTCTCTTGTCACTGATCGGTGCATTATGCTATGCAGAATTAGGTAAGTGTCGAAAATTGACTAGACGTTTCCAATGCGAAATATCGCGAACATTTAATTTAGAATTCCTGTGCGGTCAGTCACGTTGCACTTGCATTAGAATCTATGTAATGTGCTCGGTAAATCACAATCACTAAGCGGATGACATCGTCAAAAGCAAGTACAATATATATAAAATTATTCTTTTTTCATCGTAAATATGTTTATCAAAAATCAATTTATACATCGTTAGAAGGAAATATTAATTTACGGAATTCCACATCATATGTATGCTGCATCATAGAGGCAGCAGCACTTTCACCGATAACGTACCGACTTTGTAAAGTTAATATAAGTTTTCTGGTATAGAAGTGCCGTACTGTTATTTCATAAATTTTAATACAGCTGTTTAATATAAATGATGTTTATACCCGAATAAATTTGCTAAAATATTACGTAGCACATGTAATAAAAATTTATCGCTACTTATCGTTTATTTTGCAACATTCTTATGCTTTTTGAGATATATATTTTTCTTTCGCAATTTTAGTCAAAAAATTTAGCATACCTTCTGTTATCGATATTTTTACATGTTTTCATTTTATTATTCACGTGTCGCCGCAACGCTGTGCATCTACAAACAGACCTCTCAACTCTTGCATCACCTTTTTCCTAAGTCGATTCACTTGCTTAGCAATTACTCTATTGTCGCTAAGAAAGTTGCGCCTTATTTAAACTTGAAATTACTTTTATGAAATAATATTTCAATTTATTAGCTGTAACTATGGCGCTATAAACTCGAGTATCTATTGCGTTTGTTTCATTGTAATATTTCTAGTGAAACCGTTAATCTTTCTGCTATCTGGAAAGGTTGTTATACCTTTTAATTACTTTTTAAACTATTATAGCATCCTCAATTATAATTCCATGGAATTTGTTGTAGAATTTCTAGTGTTTTAATTGCGAAGTAACGAGTGATCGGTTTAACAAAAGTAATACTTTTGAAAATTATCGCTTCGTATTATGAAGTATTTCAAGTGTCGTACATGAAATGTTCTGCAAATAGAATTACACAACGAAAGTATATTGATAGTGCAATATAAAGTTTATCAGTAAAGCAATTTGTACATACGAATGTAATATCGAGGTGACACGTGTATGCATCTGTCGTATGTATTTACATATGTATATACGGTACATCTACGAAGTAGCTAACGATATTGTAATACAAATTAATAAAGATTGTGTTATTGACTATGTTTTGATGTTACGCTTCACATGCGATAACGTCCTCATTGTTTGTAAAAGTACTAAGTACAATTACCTACACGGAAATGGTATAATAAATTTTAGCTAATTATAAATTTGATATCATTTACAAGATCGTAAAAATATTTGGAAATTAATATCTATAGGGTGTTTACTCAAAAAACATATTCGTATCCTGTATTCTGTTCCTGATTAGCCCTCTCCTTGTTTGTGTTTGTAATTATCGACAATGATTTACATAATACAACATATTTTGTAAATTACTTCATCAATACGTAAACAGTAACATAGTTAGAAGTTAGAATTGGTTATTCAATGGTTAAGGTCACGTTAACTGATATTAAGTCGCCCTTTTTCCTGTTTTTCTCTTGTTTTAGAAAATAAAGTATCGTCCGAAAAATGTCTACATCACATTTTTTATTTATCTATATATAAAAACCACTACTCTTTCAGTTATTTATTACTCTGCGGACTTTTAAGTTCGATTTTTTACATTATTAATTACAAAAGATTGTCTATTGATATTAATTGAATTTTAATTATTGGTTGTAGTCAATTATATAAATTTTGAGGATAAATAATAAATATATAAATGTAAAATATGAGGTTTACGTAAAGTATTAAGTGTATAGTGTGTAAACAGTTTGTAGTGGTCGAAATGTGTAAAACGAATTTTTAAGATAATAAGAGAAATCATTCAGCAATGACTATAACGCGGGGAAGTGAACTAGATGTCAAGCTTTGAATTATAAGTATACGGAATACCGATGTTAACTTCAGTTTGTACCTTGAATGAAACTGTGTCTAGTGAATTAATCTTTCAAGTCGTTAAAGCTGTTTTGTAATTTTGTTTAGAATTTTAATAGTTTGTAGTACTCGGTCTACAATGGACATTAATTGAAACAAGAAAAAATTTGGAAAAAAGGGGTTAAATACATGTTTCATATTTTGGAAAATAATCTTCTTGAGAATAAATGTCATTTTATTGAAAAGATTATACATATTCAACATACACGATATCTTTTTTTAATATAAAATCACTTTCTTTCTGACTACATACATATTAGGTCGTAATATTTTAAACCTTATTTTCTCGGTAAATATTTGTCTTTGGAGATGTTTTAAAATGACAACTTGAAGAGTAAACTTCTTTTGTCAGATTTACGTTGCTAACCTTGCTTTTATTCGTCTTGCTTTCAATCATGAATCAACGTGATTTTCGCGTACTTTTTTTATATGAGTGGAAAAGTGATCATAACGCAGCAGCAGCTGCTCGAAACATAAATGTTGCATTCGGGAATGATACAGTTAACGAGCGTACAGTGCATCGATGGTTCGAAAAATTCGAAGCCGTAGATGAAAGCCTCGTTATTGAAGCACGCGGAAGACCAGAGCCGTCCATTAACGACGATCAGTTGCAGATTTCTATTGAAGCAAATACGCGACAAACATTTAGAAATTTGTCCCAAGAAATCAGTGTAAGTCACACGACAATTTCACGTCGCCTGAAATCGATTGAGAAAGCGATAAAAACTGGACAAGTGGGTGCCACTTGAACTTAACGAACGGCAGAAGCTCCAGCGTCAGGACATATGCAATTCACAGCTAATCCGAAATGATAGGGACCCGTTATTGGATCGCATTGTCACTTGTGATGAAAAGTGGATACTGTATGACAATAGACGACGTTCTGCCCAATGGTTGGGTGCAGATGAATCCTCACGACATATGCCAAAGACAGCCTTGCATCCAAGGAAGATAATGATCAGACTATGGTGGTCAATTCATTATAATTTCTTAAGGACAGGTGAAACAATTCATGCGGAGAAATATTGTGCCGAAATTGAAGCAATGCACCAGAAATTGCAAGTAAAACAACCGGCATTGGCCAACCGAAAGGGCCCAATTCTGCTTCATGATAATGCTCGACCGCATGTTTCACAAATAACGGTGCAAAAGCTGAATAGCTTAAAATATGAAACTCTGCCTCATCCACCATATTTACCTGACCTGTCGCTTACTGATTATCATTTTTTCAAGCATTTAAATCATTTCCTCAACCAGAAAACGTTTATGAATTAAGAGACTGTCGAAAATGCCTTTCAACAATTTATTGTCACCAGACCTCCGAATTTCTATAAAAATGGAATTGAAAAACTTTTAACTAATTGGAAAAAATGTATGGAATGTAATGGATCCTACATTGATTAATAAAACTTAATATTAAAGAAGTTACGATCATTTAAACTTACTGCTAAAAATCGGACATTTCATATGTTACGTCCTAATAATATGTTTGAAAATATTTTGTATAAACTTAAGTTGTGTAAATCAAAAGTTTGGAAGTAAAAGGAAGTTCATCCAAACTCCAACATAAAATCTTTCGCAGATTTTTACACGTTTTATTTTCGTATACTTCTTTGAATTATCTGGGGTTTTGTAAATTTCTTTTTCGGAGAATAAGCAATAAGGAGCTAAAGGATATTCCTTTCTACTGCTAAAATATAAATTAAAAAAGTGTTAGTGTCAAGTGTTAATTCAAAAATATTTAAACTAGTTTCACGGAGAATGATTTTCAAAATGTATCAATTATAAAAAACATTTGAACAATTTAATACTTAAACAGTTGCGCCAATTTTTTATTTTATTTTATTTTACAAGTAATACAAAATAAATTTATTTTGAAAAACCAATAATTAACTTGTATTATCACATGCGAATATCATTAAATTTAAGCAGAGTCAGATTTTTGTAATGGTTTCTTCCAACCGTCTTTGACGTCTAAACTTCATTTCAATGCACTTTCCAAGATATACATATATTTGTATTTATAGAAAATACTTATGTTCGTGTATTAAACGAACACACACGAGACGTATCATGTCTTGTTAATATGAATACTGATCAGTGCAGATGACAGAGATTAATGAACGTATTTACTGTACCATTGCATGCATATTCCGATTGCTTTGCTTGTTGTCTGTACTTTGGTATCTATACTGATAAGCTAAATTTGCTTTGCAAATTATTCCCTCAGCATTTATCTAGTTTATTTTTGTCCTTTTAGCTATTTATTTATTCATGATGATAATGGAATGCAACGAATATTGATCATTACTGTATATGTTTAGCATAGTTTTTCTTTTTATTAAATTTTTGTTCATTCCTTATTGTAAAATTTGTTCAACCTATTTCTTTTCACATAGATAAAAAAATATTCTTTTATCTAAAAATTGCTTTATTAATTTGTTAGACTATTTTTCTTATTCACTTTCTTACATAAAAATAACTTCAAAACCAGAAAAAAGTATTGTATAGGATTTGTATATGATTTGTCTTACGTAAGGTTACAAATAAGTTTTTATCTTTCCCGAAAGTTGTTTGGATTTAGAGGGAGGAATGAAAAATCTGTCGACCTTTACCTGCCAAGCTTTTAGAATATTGTTTCACGACGATCGAGGAGGAACACGCGCGGTTATTGTTACCAGTTTCCAAGCGCTTTATCAATTACGGTCGTTCTAATTATGCTTTTGGTTCATCGTTCTAGAACGTCTTCGCGTTAGCATACTGTGTTACTTAAAAATGAAACTTTTTATCCCGTTTTTATTCAATATACAATTAACGAAACAAAATTAAGTTATATTTGAAACAAATATTAATAATATTTGTTCAGTTATGAAAAATACTATTTTCCTATTTTCCTATTTTCCTTAACCTATCTTTTAAAATTGAACGTAAAAGTTTAGCAAAATAAA